CTGTCAAGATCCTCATCAGAAGCATCAAGCAAGGGATCAATACCATCAATAACCTGACTCGCTAGCTACAATGTCTAAGAAATAAAATTTAGTGTTAGTATATCATACCACAATTGTGAAAAGGTGTCGATAAAAGAAGAATTTTACCAATAGGGGAAAAACATAGAAACTAACCATCCCATACGTCAACAATGCCACCTCGTGTTGCTCACCATCTCTTGGGGGGGGGGGGGGACAATGCATGGGTGGGTGCTCAAAGTGTACCAGTTAAGGTACTTTAGGTCGACGGATCTTGTGTCGTTGAAAGGTGCGAATTAGGCATCCAAATTGATCAGGTGACCGCAAGACCTCCAAAGTTGATCAAGCTCGGCCCCAAACACGACCTTATAGGTCCCTAAAACAGGTTGACTAACACTAGATGGTCGAATAGGAGGATCAGGGATCACTTGTCTATACCCAAACCGACGGAGAGTGCGTGAGGGATCGTAGGCCTCAGCCACATCGTAGATAAGTATCACCCCCCCCCCCATACAAAGATCATGGTATTGATCAACCAGGGTGGGCAGTAAAAGGAAGCCAATCCATGTAGTCCACTATAAAGTTGTCCAACAGTCAGCGATAATGATCCAACCGTTGTGGAACCTCACTAGGCCCCCTCCACAAATGGGGCCCTCCCACCTCCTAGCAAACAGGTCTCCGTGTCTCACGGTCTGTGATGCAGCTCTGTTGATGAGCAGCGAAGAAAAATACTCATAGATCCAAGCCTATAACAAGGTGAAGCACCAAGAAAATCCTCCAGAACTTGCTCGACTAGATCTCCCAAGCTTCTTATACACTAGAGGATGAATCTGTTAGGGTTAGAGGAAGAGAGGGGCAAGGAAGTAATATGTAGAGTTATTAGGGGAGAGAGATTTGATGTGGTTATTTTTTCGTCCAAAAATACCCCTTGATTAATCTAATGATTTGGAGGTGGGTGGCGCATCTCACAACCCTTAATAGGGAAGTGACGGTTCCTCACCCCATTTGTTTAGTGCTCCATATGGTTTGAATTAATCCAAACTTTACCTAATTTGGGTGTAAATCCTATATGTAGGAATTCATTATTGTAAGCCATGTTCCATTCACCATTAAAAACACTAAATCAACCACGGTCGAGGTTAAAACTATTGGTGGCAAAGCATGAGCTGACTCTGCTAAAGTTGATTCATTTTGAAGGCAATAATCGATCTAGAAGGGAGTTTGTTGTTCATTTCTTACCTCCCAGATAATGGCATCAGGAATAAGATGCTGAACGACACAAAGAAGTATTTTTCCCTATGGTGATTTGGAAATAACAAGCGCAAAAAAGGAAGGACAAGCATAAAATTAGGGTTGTACCTACCGGCTAGCTTGTGAATCAGGATGGGGTATGTTTGTTAGGATTTGGTATTGTAGGAGGGTGTGTAATTTAGTAATAAAAGTATATGGCTTTTTTTGTAGAGAAGGAAAAATAGAGAGGTGTGTCTAAAATATAACCTTTTATCAGTTCGTCGCCCTAAAAATTCTTATTCGTCACCTTAATTATGTTAGATTTGGTGGCTTCTATCGTACCTTGGGTAAATATAGGGTACAACATACCCTGAGTAAGAAAATGCTATCTAGACCTCGAATTAACCGGATTTTTTGGCATGTTACTATACCCTAACCCTTCATGAGTGAACCCTAGGTCTTAGATATCTAAATCATAGAGCCTAACCCCTAAGATTATGCATGTAGTTTGTTGTATATATTATGACGAATCATGATCGTCCATTTTTATTTCTAATTAAACTAATCTTAGTGTATGAGATTTGCTGAATTAAGACCTAGATTTTGATCTTTAAGGGTTCGGGAATAGTACCAAATGCCAAACTCTGGTCAATTCAAAGTGTAGATATTATTTTCGTACTCAAGGTATAACATACCTTTGATTTTACCCAAGGTACAATAAAACCAATGTTCGGGTCGAATTGTACACATTTTACCCCTCATTTCTTGATGGTTTGGCTTTGCATTTCATCGTCCATCGACATATTTCATGCTAGGTTGTGCTTGTTTTGATACATTTCAGGTCCTAGCACGTGTGGAAGGGTTGAGGACAAGTTTTGGGATGATTGGAGGTAACAAAGCGCAAAAACCGAAGAAAAGTCCAAAGTCATCGTGACAATTGCCCCGTAACAGTGAAGTGCAGGCGTCCAGAAAACAGCTGCAGTTCACGGTCTGGCATTGGAGTTCACGGTCTCTTAAGGTCGTGAACTGGAACCACAAACCGTGAACATCTAGGCGTCCAGCGAGGCTCCAGAGGTTACTGACGCCAAGGGAGTTCGCGGTCTCTAAGACCGTGAACTTTGAGCACAAACCGTGAACCCCGAAGAGTGAAGCAGTGTGAATTGGAGACGATACTAAGTTCACGGATGCGTTTAGGTGTTCAAGGGCGTGAACTGGAAGGCCGTGAACTCAGTTTGATCTAGGTTTAAATGAGAGCTGAAAGGAAGAAGGAGGAGGAGCTTCATTTTTAGGGTTTTCATTTTTCGGAATAAAGAGGATTCTAGTAAGAGGTTAGGGTTTCTTCTAGAGTGAGAAAGTGCAAATCAAAGGAGGAAGAAGGAGCTTTGGGTTTGTTCCTAGCTAGAGGATTGAAGATTTCTTCATCTCAAGGGTGTCTCAAGCAACAAGGAGTAAAGATTGGCATCATTTGATGGTTCTTTCTTTCCCTTTTGTTGTTTTCTCTTGTCTAGCTATGGAATAGCCTACCTACTCACTTGGGTATTGTGAACCCTAGTCTCTCTATGTGTTAAGATGAAATAACATGAACCTATTGTGTTGATTGAGTGTTTTATATGATATTTTAGGTATTATTCATGAATGATTGAGTGTGCTAGCTTTAACTCAATATTGGGTAAAATTGACCTAGAGGGTGGAAATCCCCTTTTGGTCCAATAGGAAGCTAGACTTCTTAGACACTTGGGTAACCTCCTTTAGGTCGATTTAAGACCAAAATCTCAAGTATCGCAGTAGGGCCGTGATTCCACCGGGATTGGTCTCTACGCTGACCAGATTAAGTTCCGAGGGTTTGGTTTGCAATCCTTAGTCGGCTAGTCGAGAGGGTTAGGTTTCCTAGCCTATCGCTGTCACCCTTAGGTGAAAGGTTAAGTGAGTTAGCTTTCTAACTTGTTGCAACAATTCTCAATTAGCTAATGACACGCAACGACACAACACCTAACAATGGCCAAGTGTAACCAATGAAAGGGACTGCAGTATAGTGGCACAAGTAATAAATATCGAATCCACCAGTCTCTAGAGTTACTATTACTTAGCTTCGGTTCACTTAGGTATGATTCCCCCTAGCTCCTCAATTAGGTCCAAGTTGCAATTACCTTTGGTTGATCTACTGTTGATTAAACTGCGGAAGATCCTAAATTAGCTTGGAATCTCTTAAGCTGACCAAGCCCTCTTAGACAGAATACCCAGCAGGTGACTAGCCTTCACCGGGATAGACTGCTAAGGTGATTCACACAGATCTCCACTACTGGAATGAATTCCATTACAAAGCAGTGAATTGATTGACTCTCGCACAACGAATTCACCACTATCAATCAAGGAAGCTCTCTTAACCTAATCAGATTCTATCTATCATAGGTTAAAGCAGAAATCAAGAGAAGATGATCAAGCTTCAATTGACTCAATAAATCATGCCTCAATCGATTATAATCAAATAGCATAGCATCCAAAACTTCATACAAGAAAGATCCAAACACATGGAAATAGGGTTCCTCAAAACCTAAGTGAAGGAAAGTTACTCCATAGAGAAGAGAGAGACTGCAGAAATCTGATCTAGATCTTCAATCTCCATCTCCAAGCTTGATTCCCAAGCTTCAATGGCGAAGAAATCCTCCAAAATAGCTCCAAGAATGTTCCCAAGTCGCTCTCTCTCTCTAGGGTTCGTCCCTTGGGTGTTTGGGAACCAAAACCCAATTCTACCTTTCCTTTGGCTTGAATCTGCCTCAAAAACCCGATTCTGGGCAAAACATGGTCGAGGACACAGCCGTGTTTTACTTTTGCCCGCCCGTGTTTTTCCCCCATCAGTCCTCACGACACACCCTCGGTAGTAAAAACACTAGCGGGGGCCAAATAAAACACGGCCGTGTTTTTAGGGTAGTCTGCCCGTGTTTTTACTGTCGAACTTGTTCCCCTACATTCAATGCTTCGTTTCTCCCTCGTCTGGACTCCGAATCAGTCATCGTTTGATCCCAGACGCTCGTAGTTTAGTCCTCTTTCTTTTTATCAAAAGCTTTCATGATTATTTGTCCATAAATGAGGTATAAATCCATTCTTATTCAGGTCATGCCCAAGTTTCTTCTCCCGAATCGCCAATTGGTATCCGATTGACTAGAAACTTGCACCTAGCCTTTCCTTTGACGCTTGGGACCTGAAATGTGACAAAGAAACACAACCTAGCGTAAAATATGCCAAAGAAGCAATAATTCAAGCTTAAACGATCAAGAAACAAAGGGGAAAACATGTGCAAATATCGTGTCATCAGCTAACTAAGGGAGTTAAGAATCTCCTTGGTTGATCGGTGAAGACGGCTAGGCTCCCTATGTAACACCCCGATTTTTAGTTTGGATTCAACCCATAATAAATGTGTGGATTGAATCGACGAACTAAAACTTGAATAGAACCAAGCCTTGTCCTATAATCAAGACCCGAGTAATTAAGACCATTTATTTTTATTTCGACCGACACTTTTAGTGATTGCTTCGTTACTCCCATCTCCCCATAAGAGAAACGTAAAAAGCAACCCTAAATAAAACAACTCAGAAAGTCACTCTATTCCCATAGAAAAAACCAAAAGCAAAGCTGCTGCCCTTCTATTTGACTGCTCACAAAATCCCCTCCTCACCATCACCCTGCCACAGCAAGAATGAGCCGTCGTAGTTGCAACCGGATGCGATCACGAGAGAGAGCTTAGCAGAGGGAATTCATGAAAGCATTGATTTGAGAGGAACAGATGAATCGACGAAACCACAGTAGACGGGCATGGCCACCACCCCCCAACACTTTTCCACGCTCTCGCCAACAACAGCGCGACCAAAGGCAGCAGCAACGCCAGCCCTCCGTCGATCCTCCTCTTTCCCTCGAGAACCCCCAGAGTTCCAGCCTCCATCCGCATGGTTTCCATTGCTTCCAACCATTACTGCAGCTTAGAGTGGATTCGGACCACCCAATCTCCTCAACTGACAAAAGCATTGGACATATATCGGTTGCTAATGGTTTGATGGGACGAGTACTTGGATACGGGAGAAAGAGAAGATCATGGTGGCCTTATTAGAAAGGTAAGCCTATTCGTGATTGGCTAGCTGCTTACATTAAATGGGTTTGTCAATTTGAATAAATTGCCCACTCCAAAGGATGGTACTCACGTGCCTATTGGGAATTGATTCGAGGGAAGGGTTAATTGAGGATTAAGAATGAGAGAACTATAGTACGTAAGGAGCTGATTTTCTTGTAATGGAAATCACATGCAGCTTTTGGAATGATGCAAAGGAGATAGAAATTGCATGGATACCTAAACGAGGAAACCTGATTAATTCAGAGCGATTGTAATGAGGTGAGTGTAAATGAGGTAAAATCTTCGTCGAGGTCATTAGTTTATGTTTTTTTAATTTCAAGTTATGTTCGTTAATTTTTTAATTAAGCGCGATTATGTTTGTGAGGCATCCCACCGCCTACTTAAGGTGGAGGCACGCGTTGTGCTATATATGTGTTTGTGATGTATGGATCATGGTAATTGAACCCCCGGGCGGTTGGACCACTACTGGACGCGGTAGATGGTCGGGTCAATACTGGACAACGATACGTAACGTAGTAGTTGACGGGCATTGACTGGACGGCGATACGTAACGCAGTACCATTGCCTCGAGGATAGGGACACCGGACGGCGATACGTAACACGGTGATTCCCTAGTAATAAGTATATAAGTTAAGATAGAAGTAGAGAACTTCTATAAGATATTAAGGAAATAAAGTATGAAGGATGAAAGTGAGAACTACTTTCGTCTAAGGCAGGAAACCCTAATAACGTGTTTAGTAAGGAGTTTGCTTAGGCAAAGACCTTAGGAAGTAACGACGAGACTGACCCCTTGTCACTCACCAGGTCGAGGAAGGATTGGTGGAAGTGAAAACGAGAAGAAGCAGGGCGAGGCGAGCAGCAGTACCAGCATTGATGGGATATCAGGAAGGTTGTGAGGAGTCAAGTTAGAATAGTTAATTATTTTTGTTCATGGTTATTATTATAAACTAGAGATTTTGTGTTATGTTGTTTTAAGTGTTTGAGATTGAGATATTGCCCCCTTTACACTCACCTCATTACAGTCGCTCTGAATTAATCAGGTGTCCTCGTTTAGGTATCCATGCAATTTCTATCTCTTTTGCATCATTCCAAAAGCTGCATGTGATTTCCATTACAAGAAAATTAGCTCCTTACGTACTATAATTCTCTCATTCTTATCCTCAATTAACCCTTCCCTTGAATCAATTCCCAATAGGCACGTGAGTACCATCCTTTGGAGTGGGCAATTTATTCAAATTGACAAACCCATTTAACCTAAGCAGCTAGCCAATCACGAATAGGCTTACCTTGCTAATAAGGCCTCCATGATCTCCTCTTTCTCCCATATCCAAGTACTCGTCCCATCAAACCGTTAGCAACCGATTATGTCCAACGCTTTTGTCAGTTGAGGAGATTAGGTGGTCCGAATCCACTCTAAGCTGTGGTAATGGTTGGAAGCAATGGAAACCATGCGGATGGAGGCTGGAACTCTGGGGGTTCTCGAGGGAAAGAGGAGGATCAAAGGAGGACTGGCGCTGCTGCTGCCTTTGGTCACGCTGCTGTTGGCGAGAGCGTGCGAAAGTGTTGGGGGGTGGTAGCCATGCCCGGCTACTGCGGTTTAGTCGATTCATCTGTTCCTCTCAAATCAATGCTTTCGTGAATCCCCTCTGCTAAGCTCTCTCTCGCGATGGCATCCGGTTGCGACTACGACTGCTTATTCTTGTTGTGGCAAGGTGATGGTGAGGAGGGGATTTTGTGAGCAGTCAAATAGAAGGGCGGCAGCTCTGCTTTTGGTTTTCTCTATGGGAATAGAGTGACTTTCTGAGTTGTTCTATTTAGGGTTGCTTTTTACGTTTCTCTTATGGGAAGATGGGAGTAACGAAGCAATCACTAAAAGTGCCGGTTGAAATAAAAATAAATGGTCTTGATTATAGGACAAGGCTTGGTTCGATTCAAGTTTTAGTTCGTCGATTCAATCCATACGTTTATTATGGGTTGAATACAAACTAAAAATCGGGGTGTTACACCCTAGCTATGAATCGCAATCCTTAACCTAACTGTTAAGCGAGCTAGTTCTCCTAGCTTATATTTGTTGATTTTCCTTTATTGATCGACTAAGGGAGTTTGTCACTAGCTAGTTGCACCCACCTCGCAGTGTATGAACACGTCCTTCACACTAGAGCTTTGTTTGTCGCTTCTTAGCATGAGACTAGGGGGAGCAATACCCAAGTGAAGTCCTCTCGAGTAGAATTCTCCTCCATTTAATTTTCTTGCTTGTTTAGTTTGTAGTTTTCTTAGTTTCAAACCCAAAATTGTTTTTCTAGATAACAACTTAAGCGATTGAAGTAGGGGTACATGGACCGGCTCGAGTTTGACAATTAAATACTTGCCCTATACTGCACCCGGCTAGAGTTTAAAAACTTGGGCGCTAGTCGAGATATAATTCGCTGTGTAGTTTTGAGCGAGTCAACCACCCGTTAAATTTACTCTAATGCCCTTCGTTTTTTCCGAGTTAATTGCATGGTTGGTCACTAAGATTACAAAAAAACGTTCAAATTCGGTCACTCGAAATATTTAAATCCATTGGTGGTACTTTAGTTTACTGAAACCGTTCACGTTTGGTCACTCTCCATCGAACTCCGTTAACTTTGGCTGATGTGGCAGTCAACTCTCGAAGTTGACCGTTAACTTAGTGATGTGGCAATTAAAAAATAATAAATGAAATAAAATTTAATCTATTTTAATGTCCAACTCATTTTTACCATAAAATAAATAAATAAAATAAAAAGATATTATAATTATTAATTACCAAATTAAAAGAGGCGCCAGACACCACATCTTTCCCCGCAATCACTTTTTCTCCGCTCTTCCTCCTTAAATTTTATAGTCTTAATTACCAAATTAAAAGCGGCATTCCTAGCTGAATTGATATTCGTCGCCCTAAATTTTAAATTTTATCGCCCTAAAAGCACTAAAATGACATTCTTACCCCTAATTCCAATTTCAATCTAAACCCTAAACAAAAACTCTCTTACACCTGTCCAGTCGACGCGGAGCCGAGCTCCACCATCCTTTGACTGCTGCTGCCGGATTCTTATCTCCGGTGCTGCCCACCTCAACCCAACTGTGACTTATGCTCTTTTTTCTACTATCGAACTTGATCCCAAACAGGAAGAGGAAGAAGAACGAAGAAGAATGACGTCACCCATCTCCTCTGTTCTGTTGTCGCTCCCAAGCAGTCGGAAGAAAAAATCAATTTCCAACCGAAGTCAAATGGAAAATCAAGGCCGAGAGGAGAGATATTCAAACAGGTCCAACCGGCTATTTTTCCATCCTTGGACATTTTTTGTAAAATGAGCAAGCATGCTACTATTAGCATTTCACGCCAATGAAATAGCAGTTTTGACAAGCAGCAGCACAGTGGGACTCGAGCTTAGCATACCACTGGTTTACTTTGCCAATCGTGTCCCATTTTCCCACCACTAACCTAACTCTATCTCTTTGTCCATCATCCCGCTACAAGAACCAAAAGAAAAATCATCTTCAATCACTACAAATCTAACTGGCAAAAAAGGCATTTGACGCCGAGTTGAAAACATGTTGTCGGCGAGCTCTGAGTCTGTTTTGGTTCTAGTCACCTGATTCTGGTTCTGGTTATGGTCTGGCCTAACCTGAAATGTTCATTTTTACTTTAAATTTTTTGTTTATGAACTAAGGGTATTAAAGTACATTGAATTTAATTAGGGCGACAAATAAGAAATTTTAATGCCCTTTCCTAGAAGGTGGAGAGGTGGTGTCTTTGAAGAGATCGTGGCTGGAGTTACGGTCAGAGTCCTCGCTCCCCGGACTCCCACTCCTGCTCCCCGGTGGCGACGACTTCAACATCACCACCGTCCTAATGTCCCCCTCATCACAAACCAAACCGTGATTAATGTTTCGGTGGTGGTGGTGGTGCTGAGCTGGCATCATCGTCTGAGTATTGAGCATGGAAAGCGTGTTTTCGTAGGAAGCAAGGATCTTCTGCACCAGCACTTCCCTCGTCGTCGCCTGCTCCAATGTCAATCCCGACGAAGGAAAAGAAGATGAATAGTGGTGGACGGAGGAGGAGGCTGAGGATGAGCTGGAGCTATTTCGCCACGCCGTCAGCTCCGCCGCCAAACTGCCGCACTTTTGCTCCCAGTCTGGCGCTGCATGATGGTGATGAGCCATATTAAGCTTCCTAGAACAAGAGGGTCAAAGAAGCGATTACTATTTAAGACCTCATGGCGGAGGGAATTGAAGGAGGAAGATGGAGCAAAAGTGATTGCGGGGAAGGGATGTAGTGTCGGACGCCTCTTTTAATTTGGTAATTAATAATTATAATGTTTTTTATTTATTTATTTTACGATAAAAATGAGTTGGACATTAAAATAGATTAAATTTTATTTTATTTATTATTTCTTAATTGTCACATCACTAAGTTAACGGTCAACTTTGAGTGTTGACTACCACATCAGTCAAAGTTAATAGAGTTGGAAAGAGAGTGACCAAACGTGAACGGTTTCAGTAAACTGAAGTACTACCAATGGTTTAAATATTTCGAGTGACCAAACTTGAACCTTTTTATAATCTCAGTGACCAACCATGCAATTAACCCATTTTTTTTCTTTCATTTACATTTAGGGCTAATTCCACTAGAAATCCCAAACAACCCTAAAAGTGTCATATGTGTCCTAAACTATTCAATATGACAAATCTGGCACAAACTATATGCGATTCGTGACATTTGTATCCTAAACTATTCAATATGACAAATCTGGCAAAAACCACATAGATGTTGACTAGATTTTCTGTTAAATACTAACAGTCTATGCCGGTCAACATTAACAAAAAAAAACTAATTCACGCCAGATTTGTCATATTTAATAGTTTATGACACAAGTAACACTTTTTGAATAATTTGGACTTGCTAGTAAAAATAATGATAATTGAAGTAATCATAATTTGGGACGGGTTCACCAAAAAAATTCCTTCAAACCCATCTATAATATATAGCAGTACTTCAGGAGATTTTGAGCATTTCAAATTCCTTGCACTCTCCTTAATTGTAGCTAGGGGTAAATTTGTAAGTTCAACTTAGAACTTAAATATATTCCTACGAGAGAAAAAATGTCATTACAAAGACTAGAACTTGAGTCCTTTAGATTGATAGTCAGTATCCCTAATCAACTGGACTACAACAATGTTTATGTATTTTTGAATTAAAGAGAGAAAATACTAAAATATCTCAAAATCATAGGACTATCCACCGCAATAATCAATCATTGAATTAATTAATAACAGTAATTATTTACAAAGTGAATCATCATGACATACCTAGCTTTATGAATCAACTAAGTGAGTTCCTCTAATCACACAATTCTTCACCAAGAATCAAATAGTACATTTTGAGTTTATGTATGTCTTACAACTTTTACATTTATTAGGTTACATGACTTTGTAGTTTGTAGGAATACAAGGATTGTTTACAAAAGTGTTTTCCAAATTTTATTTCAAAACATAAAATTTGACATTTGGATTTATGATTTTGTAATGAGACATTTTCAATGTTATAAGTGAATGACCAAAAGTCATTGGCTAACTATTTCCCTAATGGTTGACAATTATAAGCATAGAATTAAAAGGCTAAATACCATTGACAAATGAGCCAATTATCATTGGCTAAATTTAGCAAACAATGGTATGTGTATATACATTGGAAATTCTATGGTATGCTCGATGGATCGAGGGTTATTGCATCTCCTTAGGTAAATAACATTATCTAGACCATAGATTAATCACGTAACTAAAGTCTATATCATAATTCTCTAAATCCTAATATAGTGCATATGATATGTTGTATACATCTTGGCGAATCAGAATCAATGATTATGTTCTTAGTATATGTGATATTAAGCTTTAAGTTCTATAGATTTAGGGTATATGATTTAATTATTTGAAACTTAATCTCCCTTCAAACAAAGATGTGATATTAGGGTTTTACTTCACAATTATCTGTATTTTTTATTTATTAAGAGAAAAAGATAGTCATATTGAGATTTGAATCATGGTCACTTCAAACAAAGTGAAGGTTTAAAATCAATCATACTATATAGATTTATTGTATTTTTTTAATTAAAAATATATACGAAGCTAAAATATGACATCACAGAACTTTTCAACAGTTAGATAGCCCAATAAATAATCTGTAAGTACTTATTTGGTGTTTTGATACTTCGATTTTGATATATTTTTATTTTAATTATAGTTTAATACTTATTTTAAAATTTTATCTATCTTATAAATAGACGATAACCATAAGTTTGCAACCAAAATATGGTTGGTTCGAATATTTCATATCGAATTATAGTATTGAATATGTAGAAGCGATATAGAATTCTTAAATTGCCATTAATTTCCAGAACTATAGTGAAACAATCATATCTTTGTGCAAACTATAAGGGACTGGTTCTCTAAACATTTTTGTCCGGTTAAATACTAAGTTTTGAAACTCTTCCTAGGAGTGTACGTGGGTTGGTTCGTTTGGGTTTAGATATTTTAATCACCTAACTCATATACCACGATTTTGAAAACACTAAATACAAACTCACCCAAATAATTTAGAATTTTAACGGTTTGTGTCCTCCATACCATATGAACCAATTTACATGTCGCTTAACTAAGGACGATCTCATTGTCCAATCCCATCATTCTAATGTCAATCCATAAAAGTAACCCATATTCGCGTTTGTTAACACATGTTTCACATTGTCATTACTGTGACCGGTAACTTCGCGGCAACTGATTCGGTATTGCTCATCATATAGGCTCCAAATTGATGAATATATCGGGCCAGCAGTTTTATGACAAAACTCAAAGTGAAGACAACTCATCTTCTCGTGGAATTTTGGCGCTTGCTGGTGTCCATTAATCTAATTGCAAGCATAATGATTGCTAAAATTAAGCTTTCACGCAACACACTGGGAGTTGGGGGTGTGAACTTGGAGTAAAAGTTGATATTGGTTTGGGAAGGGAAGTGGCGAGAAGAAGAAATTGCGTTTGGATTTGGTAGAAGGTAAAGTTCATGGTTTGGTTTCTTTTTGTAAAATGGTTTGATTTATTTTAGTTAGAGGTATAATATCATTGTTATGTGGGATCAAATGAACCAAAAATGAGTTTGGGGATGGGAATTCCAACTTAGAAGGAGTGGAATAGATTTTGTTGAACTCAAGTTCATGATTAACTGAAAGAATATTTAGATTTAGACTTTGTGGTATTGAGATGTTCAAAAGAGAGTTTAAAACTTATCCAAGGCTATGGATCGATATTGGTTAGTTGATTGTGATTTTGAGGAAGGTGTATAAAAATTCATGGAAGTAGTTTGCAGCAAGTGAAGGCAGTGAAGAGGCAGTGGGCCAGGGTAGTGATTGAACCAAGGAGGGTATTGAAAGACATAGAAGCAAAATTGGAGCAGTTGAAGAGAGAGAAGTGGTAGATGATCAGGATATTAATGAAAATGGAGAGGGTATTGAAGGGCATGGAAGTGAACTGGATCAGGTGAAGGCAGAGAAGGAGGAGAAGAGCATATTGATGGAATTGAAGATGAGTGTTGGTTTTACGAGCTTATTAAAACTGCCCCGACGAAGATGAGTTGGCCAAATACAAGAAAGAGGATTGAGGAGTTGGAAATCAAGATGACAAGAAACTCAACTGAACGAGAAATTCAGGTTCATGGAGAGAAGGTCCATCAAAGTAGCATAAATGGAGTTGCAGAAGGAGGATTAGAAATTGAATTTTGGTTTAAAAGATATACGTCGAGAGATTGAAGATGGAGGGGATAAAAAGTTGGTTGTACAACGAAGAGTGGAAACTATTGGATCTTTAGGTGGTCTCCTTTTAGTTGAGTTGTTAGCATATGATTTACTTGAATCAACAACTCTTCATTTCTGTTTTTTTTTTATAAATCCATTTCTTTTTTATTAGTGGCTTGTTATTCATAGAGGAGGGCTTTGAACCATTTATGTGGGATTGTGAGGTTTCATTTCAGTTTCAAACTATCTATGGATCGTGTGGGAATTCCAATGAGCTTTTATATTATATATTTCTGGACAATCTACTAACCAACATCATTTTAATGGGGCTCAATTATCATTATGATAATGGGATTAATGATACATTTTTATATTCTTAAATGAGGAGGGTAATTCCCTGAATGTTCGACCTATATATTCATTCTTTATGTAGCATCTCGATTGAATGAACGAATTAATAGACTTAAACATAACATAAAAATATAAATATTAAAATATGAACATTCTGGCCAACGGGCCGGTTATCTACACATCTACAAAATATATAAAGGCAAAACATGGGTTAGAATTGCTCCATTTCAAATTTCATGGCCTGAGAGTGATTCTAGGAAGCTCATTTTTGTCATTGCACCCGAATCATCTTTACATATTAAAAATGTAATCATTAGAGTTCGACCACGGTCGTGGTCACTTAGTAAACAAAGAAAGAGCAATATAACCAACTAGGCTACAATGTAAATTATTGTATTTCTTTTATTAACGCTAGAAAAATGTTTGGTGATGATGCTTCTATATTTATATTTTATCTTAAGTTATTTAATTTTATAGAGAGATTAGTTCAAAAAATGCAGAAGCATATTTTACTTTTTATAATAATAAATTTAATCTTAATATTTGTGATGTTTGAAAAAAAATTATGTATGATTTAGATGTATACTTATTATTTGTGACATCAGTGGTAGTTGGTTCAAATGTAGTATTTCATCAGGTAGTCAAAATCGAATACTGGATGCATTTATGATTGTTTTTTATCTTGGTGTTGTGAATAGATAAAAACTTAATTATTAGAAAGCAAATAAGAAATAACTATACCTAGACACAGGTCAAGCTAGCACGACACAGTTAGCGCATACCATGAGTACAATATATATGGATCGGCCCTGTACAAGCATGAATGTTTCATGGGTCATAACAGACTTAAACATCATGGGCTCGCGCACAAGTGCGAGTACCACACAACTATATTGGTGATCTCATGTTTTATGGACAAATGCGTCATTTAATAAAAATTAAATATTCTAAAAAAAACATATAAAATTTGAATTAATGAGTATTTTTTCACATCAATGTGTCACAACTCATATTCTAAAAGGTTTTAAA